GCACCAAAACGCGACGGCGCACCAGCAAAGAGTCATCTTCTCCAAGGTGGTTCTGCCTGCCCAGGGCAGGGTGGAGAGCTGGGTGTGGGGCACTGGGAGCTCTGCAGGCTGGTGGCGGGGAATTAGAGCTGCTGAGGTGCCACTGTTTATCATAACTGTGGTGTTAGTATATGGGTCACGCTGGAGGATCTGGTTAGGGCAAGACGAGCTTACTACAAGCTTACAAAGCATTCCTTTTTTATTTTGCTGCTCTTAGACTCATCATGTATTAAAGCTAATGCTGAGAAAACCAAAAGAAATATTCCTCAAGAGCTGTAAGGATCAATACCCCTGCTCCTACCATACACTTTAGTCTACTTATATTTAATGTATGTAATTATAATCCGGTCTATAAGGAGGCTGAATGAAGCCAGACAGTAGATTGGTAAATCAGAAACTTAACTTTCCAAGCAAAGGATCAACACTTGACCCATTTTGCCAATTTGTAGAGGACAAAAGGACATTGATCAATTTGTAAAGGACAAAAGGACATTTGTCAATTTGTAGTGGACAAAAGGGTGCTTGGCCCATTTTGCTAATTTGTAGAGGACAAAGGGACAAACCGGAGGACAAACAAGAGTGATACCTGGTCCTGTTTCAAGAGTAAGTAAGAAAACCCTAGTAGTTGTGGGTTAATTATAAATACTAACCCACACAGCATTATATGAGCCAGACCTGATCAAGGAAATCTCTTATATATGAAAAGTGCTAAGTTTACTAATTAATGGAACATGCCAAGAGTTCACCAAGAGCACAGATTGATACAAATGCCTGGTCCCCAGATTGATACAAATGCCTGATCCTTTCTACCTACAGGTGTTTAGGGAAAACATCAGGGGTGTTTGGGTATTAAGTTGGTTAAGTGGGCGTGTAAATAAAAGTTTGATTACAGTGGATTGCTGTAGAGAAAAGTTATTAGAATGCAACCATAGAGGATGGTGGTGAAATATTAAGGAATGGCCACTGATTGTGTCTCAAATTCAGCCTGAGAAATGCAGGGTCCAGTATTTAGATGGAGTGAGTTCCCTGTATCCTACTTGTATTCTCATTTCCTCCTATTCTGTCACATCAAATATATGCTACAAGTGGTGGGTTTTTTTTCATTTTCCTGTAGAACATGGAACAGGGATCCTAAATTGAAATGAAATGGACACTAATCATGAATTAGTTTTTCTGTAGTGAATGTTTCCATGTAAAGACTATAAATTTCTTTGAGAAAGCTTCTATAGTGCTGCTATGGAAGCAGCATATTTCATGTTCCTGTCAGGCATCACTTTAAACCTCCTGAGAATCATAAAAAGTAAATCAACTGCATGCAGAAATTTTAGGTTCACGGTGTCTCTGGGCTAGTAAACATAACAATGTTAAACATTTCATTATACAGAGGACATCCTGCCATATTCTAGACCAACATTTCCAACATCAAATAATCCTAGAGATCCCAGCTCCTCCAGCTCCATGTCGTCAAGAGGGTCAGGAGGCAGACAGAGGGCAGATCAAGCAAATCTAGCCCGAAGGAATGTTGCAGAAATGCAAGTACTGGGAGCCTATGAACAAGGAGAAGAGGAAGAAGAAGAAGAGATGGAGGTAACTGCATTTGTAATACCTGAAGATGACTGCAATAAAGCTGGTTTGTTTTATTTTAGATGCCAGGAAATAACACTTTTGAACCAGAAATATTCAGGAAAATTAGTGCATTTATGTGTCCATTAATGTTATGCCCAATCCAAGTAAACAAACTAGGAATGTGTCGAAACATAAAAAACAAATCATATATAGTATAATGTAAGTGTCACCACAGTAAAACTTATGGAACAGGACTTGCAGAAATACAATAGTTTGAAGAGCACTTTGCACTACCCAGATTCTTTCAAAACTGAAAATAAAGAACTAGAGCATCTAAGAACACCATGGCATTGCCTTTCACATCTTTTGACAGTTTATCATTCTGTAGATACTAAGATACAATTTTTTTTATTAGATACTAAGATACAAATTTTTTTCTTTACTCTTTCTGCCTAATGATATTGATTCAATTCAAATACTGATTGTAGAAAGGATGGCCATAACACAGTCACACTGCTGTGCATAATTTAAAGTAGTAATTATCATTCTTAGAAAATCTCTAAGAAATATGTAATATAAATTTTAAAATGATAAAGGTTAACATGTATTAATTCATATCCTCTTTTTTTAATACAGGAAACAGAAAGCTGAAGACAGCGACATGTACTGTAACAGGCTTTTAAAATCTAATCAGAAAAAAAATAAATCACTTAAGATGCCTCAAGTCTGATGATGTTTGACGCCAGAAATAATGTTCAGTGCAATCAGAGTGTACAATTTTTCCTTTTTCCTCATGCCATCAGAATGCTAGTTTTTATTTTACTCCTTCTTTGTAAACCCTCCTCACTAGGAACGGCCCTCGCCTACTCCGCAACGCCGAGCGCGTCGCCTTCGCTGCCCCAGCAGGCAGGGAAGCTGCTGTTCAAGGTGCTTGGGCCAGCTGCTGCTCCAGGATTGGGCCAAAAGGGAATTCCAGGGCCTGGGATAGATTCCCGGCTTTCTCCCCAGCCCGGCGGCGCTCAGCGCTGCCAGCTCTGCAGTGAGCCAGTCGGTGACACCGCGAGGGACACGGCAGTGACCAAGGAGCTGCCCAGGGGAACAGTGCACAACAGCCTCTGCTTCTCGGGGTTCCTCTGTGCTCTGCAGCCACTGCAAACGCGATCTTGCAGTTCTGACACTGTGTGTCTTGTGGTCTGCCAGTCTCTTGCTAACCATTTGCAGATGATACAGTTTGACAAATGAAAGTAAAATTAATTTGGGACGAGATGGCTCTTATTGTAAATATGTACTCATTTTAAACCCCTGTGGTACTTTGATTTGTCTTTCCATTTTCATCATTAAGTACATTCTTATTAAAAATGTCCTTTGGGATAGGCAGGAGGTAAGCCAATGTGATTGCTATTTGCCTAATCATAGCATGAGCAAGTTTATCTAAAACTTTTTTCCAATTTTCAACTTCAACACTGCTTATGAAAAAAAACCAATGGACATTTTTAGTAATAATTAGGTAATATCATCAACTGCTACTGGCCCAAATCTCAGACCTCTACTTGTGTCAATTCACCTTAAAGAAGAAGTGCCACTTAAAGAAGTTTTGTTTGATCTTGGCAATGATTTTTTGTAATGCACTGCTTATCTTTTTTTTTTTTTTGGTTTTAAAAGCACAATCACTAAACTTTGTTTGTAAACCATTGTAACTATTAACCTTTTTTTTGTCTTATTGAAAATGTTAAGCATTTGTTTGGGATATTTTTCATCTTTTTGTTAATGCTCTATGTTTGTATTTGGAATATTTGAATGATGACAGATGGTAAAGTAACAAATGTTAATGTGGGCCATAATCAAAACACTTCTCACTTTTCCTGGACTTACAGAAAATTACCAATTTTTCTGTGGCCTCTTTCAACATTGGATTATCATTAAAGCTGAAATAGAGGCATTAGTTGCATTGAATTTGCCAAATGATGTCCTCTGTCTGTAGATTTTCTGATCTTTTTTGTAATTATAAAATTTCTTTGTCATTGGTGCTAATGGAAAAATGTGTGTTTGTTTATTGACAGCTATCAGGACTAGCCCCAATGGAAAAAAAAGGAAAAAAAAAAAAGTGTTTTGGTGTTTACCGAGGACTGAAATTTTTCATTTAGCTAATTTTTAAAGAAAGGTTCCATAGAAAGGGTGTGCAGTACTAAAGGAAAATCCATGTGATTAATGTTTTCATTATGTTCATGTAAGAAACCTCATATTTTAGCCATAATTTTGCATACTGAGGATCCAATAATCAGAAAAGTAATTTTTGTCACATTATTTATTAAAAATGTTCTCAAATACATTATCTTTTCTGTGTAGTTTTTCTTATGTTCCCTGAAGCATAATTTTAGGGGTAACTCTAATCTTATTTCTATTGGCAAGAGCCAGGGTCTGTTGCACTGAAATCATACAGCTACAGTAGCATAAGCAATTGGGAGAGCTGAATGCAGCCTAGGATTTTACATAATTACAGTTGATTGCCTTAAAGATCTGATTTCTGGGTGCTTCATGGACTGTGAATGAAAACTTCTCTCAGCCTGCCAGTTTCCAGAGAGAGCTGATGGAGAAAATCTGTACCAACAAAGCATTCACCTCGGGGGTGAGACACATTGGTTACAAAGGAGGTGAGATCCAAGGAATTGAAGAGGATGAGTGTTCAGGATGTTTTCTGGGACCTTCACAAATTCAAGTTTCCTTTTCATGCCTGCTGTCCTTTGGCCATTCTGTGGTTGGCAGAGCCCTGCTGTGGGTCATGGTGGAGTAGGTGATGGTCTCTTTTCCCCTCTTGTATTTTCATAAGCTTGCAATCATACTGATCACCCTTTCCTTATCCTCTGCCCTTCACCCCAGTTAAAAATCACTGATTTTGGCTGACACACTTCTCTGCTCTCTAGCCACGGAGCACTGATGGAACCTTAACAGGCACAACTCTCAGGTGCAGTTTTTTTTCATAACTGCAGCTTTGAAGTGAATATAAAATTTAGGATTAAGTTGAATGTGTGGCCTTTCTGTGCTGATTTTTTTGGGATGTCTTCAGTCCTGGTGCCTCAAGTCAGCATGTGTTAAAGCCAGCATTCTCCAGGCAGGAGCCCACAGGAAGCCTGGGATGTGCTCTCGTAGACATCTTTTTGTGAAAATCCTTTCTTAGGATTTTTTTCCCTTCTGAGAAGCTGAGGCCTCAGAAACAAAATGTAAACAGTGGTTATCTGCTACTGTGGAATGCATCAGGTGGATTTTTGATTGACCTGTCTTGGGTGTTTATAATTAATGGCCAATCAAGGCCAAGCTATCTCGGACAGAGATAGAGAGCTGCCTTTTGTTATCATTCCTTTCTAGTCTATTCTTAGCTTAGCTAGCCTTCTGAGATGAACCTTTTCCTTCTATTTCTTTTTAGTATAGTTATAACATAATATATATATATCATAAAATAATAAATCAAGCCCTCTGAACATGGCGTCAACATTTTCGTCTCTTCCCTCATCCAAGAACCGCTGTGACCACTGTCACAATGTGCCACAGAAGATATCCATCTGGCCTGCATCTTTCCTTTGGAGGAGGCAGGAGAGGTTTCACAGGCCCAGCTGAAAGGCTTTGCTGGCACCAGAAACAGCCTTTTGGTTTGTGGTGAAGCCATTCCCACAGCAGGCTGTAGGGAGCAAGGTGGAGCTCAAAGTGTCCCTGAGTCTGTCAGCCCCTTGGCACAAAAGCTTAACCTGCTGCCACAGTGTTGTGTGGCATCTCAAAACTGGGATCTAGCTGCAGCTGTGGTGTGCAGACCTCTGTAAGGTGTTTCTGCCCAGAAACACTGGTGCTGCAAGCCCAAAATAACAGGCACTCACTTCATTCTCTGCTGGGACAGTGGCAAACTGGAAACCACGCACTGGATCCCAGTGATATCCATGTCCATCTCTGGTGCTTCGCTGGAAGTCAGGCTCCAGCTGAAGTTCTGACCTCAGCCAGCAGTAAGTGGGAAATGTTGCCCTATGAGGCTTTTTAAGAAGTTATTATAAATGTGTTGATGGTTGATGGTGTTGCCTAAGAGGTTTTTTGGATTGTTTTGTGGTTGCGTTCTCTTGTGTCTGGCAGTGTCTTGAGCAGTTGTCACTGAGTGTCACAGAGTTGTCAAGGGTTCCTGCACCCACACTTGGTTCTTGGTGCACTCTGGTCTTACGAAAACCAATGTCACTAAGAGAAAATATGTACAAGGTTGATATTGGAATTATTACTCCTGTTAGTCAGTGTAGAGACACACCTGCTTTAGTCTTTGCCATTGAGGTACAGTAAAATGAGGTAATTTACACAAAGCTGCATTTCCTAAAGAATTATGAAGTGACTGGAAAGCCAACACAACCAAAGTAGTGTTCAGGGGCTTTGATTATGCTGTATACCTGAAAAAGCAAGTATTCTACAGTTCTTTTGTGTGCTGAGTTAATATAGTGGATGTAGATATTTTATTTTTCTCTTGCAGTGTTTCCTGTGAAACCATGTATGACTTCCTTTTTAATTTTTTACTTGAAGTAAAGAAATACTTGCTAATATACTATGAAAGAGGTTTAAAAATATTTTAATTTTTTTTAAAATATCTTGCATATATTTTAGCATTTTTTATCCAATGAGTTTATTTTCCAATGAGTAATTACTCTGATTTAAAAATGACAAAGTGCTTTTATTTTAGGGTAATGGAAATATGCCCTGGATCTGTATTTGGAAAAATTGTACAGGAGTAAGTTAGCTGCAACTGATCATGAAACCTAAGAAATTAGTTTTGCTTCAACTCTTGTAAATATTTATATTTGCAAGAGTTGTATCTACCACCTCCCTTGTATAGCAGAACCAGCAATGTATTTGTTAAAATAACAACCTGGTTAATTTATAGCTTTAGTTAGTATGCAAATTTTACACAATGTTTTGCTTCTAACATTCTCTACTTTATTTTTCTTTAATCTTATTATCTTCCTTCAGTAAACTTAAGGGAGAAAGAGCTTCCATGGGAGAACTGGAGGATCTGCCCAACATAGCATCTGTTGTGCAATATGCTTTTCTGAAAGCCAACATCCCACCTCTGTATTCATAGCTCCTAAAAGATTTTCTGTCAGCAACAGAACCTTCTATTAAAAATTAAATATGCTTTATCCCTAAGTGAAGGGTAAATTAATTAAAGGATCTACTTGAAGGTGGAGAAAATTATTTTGTACCTTGTTTTTGCTGCTGTTACAGGTGAAAATTCTTTGCAAAGTAAAATGTTGCTACTTATGTATATTGTAATATGTTTAGTGTGTACAAAGGAAGATTCTGATATTTGAAAATGCAGCTGTTCGTGTGTATGGAATTTTGTATTTGCTGAGATTAAGGTTGGGAAATGAGAGTCTGTTCCAAAAACTCAGATGAAAGGCAAACTTGTTTATGATGTTTGAGGTTTGCCTTGAGGTTGCACATGAGTAACTCCCAGTGTTGCCATGGACATCATCCTCGCTGAACATATCCTTCAACAGTGTCATTTTGTATTGGACAGAGTGAAAATTTGACAATTTAGGCCCCACAATGAATCTTTAAAATTGGGAACAACTGTCCATCTCAATGTGAACTGTTTACCCATATTTGATTTTCTTCAGAGTTCTTTTTTCCCTTGTCTATGATGATTTTCCTTTTGCCTAGAAATATGTTCTTCATAAAAGCCAGAGTTGTCTGTGGCAGTAAAATATCTGAGGATTAGGATTATTGTTTTTTAAACAGCTCCCTTCTTTTTAGCAAGCCACTGAATGCTGGATCACAGAAACATTGAAACATTTTGAGATGACACCATGGAAATGAGGATATTTACACATTTACTGTCCATGTTGAGGATGCAAAAAAATTCCATCCTATTCAGAAGAGAAAGAGGAATTGATGAAAGTGCAATCCAGTCTCTATGAAAGCTACAAAGCAGGGAAGCAAGCTGGAGAAGATGAATCAAGGGATATAAAAAGAAAAAAATAAAATAGAGGCACCAAGGAACCCAAGTCTCACTGACACTAATGGCAAAAATAATCTTGAATTAAACTGTTCTGGAATTGAATTACCTGTTTATTCACTTGGCAGAAATGGAATGGCAGAGAACAGGAGTGGCAGAGAACAGCCATCAACACTGGAAGAAGAGTGAAATCCTTGCTGGCTGCTTATTTTGTTTGGAGTCCTTGCTAAATATACACCAAATGGCCTCATTTTAAGCTACTAGAAGAAAAAATTAGTTTTTAATTCACCATGGTTTTCACCTTGTGGCATGAGATGATGAGGATGGGACCTGCTCAGTTCTATTCTCTGTATCTGCCATAAAGTGGAGCCAATTGCTTTTCAGATTTTTCTTGGAGCATGACAATCAAAGCCATGAGGATAAAAGTGGTGCTTATTGATTTTTTTTTTTTCCAAGCCTGAGCTATTTTTAGCAAAAGCAGCATCAGGAAATGTAGAATAAAACTACTTAGTATCGACTTCTATTCTGTGGCTTCCCACCAGTCTTAAAGCACTGCTGTGGTTCAAAGTCAGCAGCAAGGGATAATGGTAAAGGAGCCTTTATGGGCTTTGATCCATAGAAGGACAAAAGCAAAATAAAGAAAAAAAATTAAAACAAAAACCCTCCACCCCTTTCAGCAAATGGTAACTAATAGGATATTTCTGATCTCTATCTTCTAATTTCTGTTTGGATAGCATGAAAATAATGGCCAAGAACCTTTATTTCTGCTCTGCTAATTGTCACAGTATCAGAGATTTCATTATATTCCTGAAAATGATGTTTGTACAAGAAATTGCATTCTGCTGAGCTGAGTACAGAGCAATGCAGTTCCTCATACCTGGTAAAAGCCTGAAAAAAGTGCAGCTGACCACAAAGTTGTCAGCAGCGCGCCCACTGATTACTCACTAATATGAATTAAAATAGAAATAAAATGTTAGTTCCCATAGCCTTAGTTAATTGTACTACAAAGGTGGCAGCATTTGATGGCTTAGTCAGCTTAACATTTACAAGCCATGAAAATCCCAAAGTCTGTATTCCTTGGATACTAATACCTGAATTAGTGTCACAGTGCAAGGTGCCAATGGACTCCAGTCTTACAGGAAACAAAATCAATTTAGGCACATGGAAACAATTTATGAGTGCCAAATGGCTGCGTAGATAGATTTATCTGCCTGTTCCTGGAGCTAATTTCATTCTTATGTGATTCCTTTAGGAGGGACACATTCCTAAAGCATGCTTCTGCTACTGAAGGTTGAATTCCTTGGCAGGACTTTCCAAGAACCATCATCAGCTTTAAGTGCACAAGGTGTAAAGGA